AAAAAAAATTAGTAAAAAATACTACCTGAAATAGAGTTCCCTCCAAACTCTGGAGCAGATATAGACATTCAAAAACATTGTTCAAAAAACTTATACAATAAGTGCAGAACACAACAAACACATCTTAGCGCTGAAAAAGTGCTCCTAATAGATGTAAGAAAATAGTCATTTATGTAAAGAAGACATTAAACATTTTCCCTCAACACAGCACAGAGAAAAGTAAATTGAGGGGGCTTGAGCCCTACCATTATAATTTCAGATTGATTATACTCTAACAACTGAGCTAAATAAAATTTGTTGGTGACTCAGTCCACTTACTAAGGTTATACTTAAAAAATGTCCTGTTGACTAAATGGATAAGAGGATGACAGTGAAAGCTCTCTCCACAAACACTCCCCCGACCCAAAACAGGCAGTATATAAACAAAGACTATTACAGACTTTCAAATACAAGTGATTGTATTTTTTTAACTGAAACATTACACCATGGTATAACCAATCCCATAGCATGTTTGAACCCTATTGTTATTCTATGAGTCTACTTCAGACATTTTGGTAGGGGTGGGGAGGGGGGTTAAATCAACTGAGGATTCGTTAGAGAACTGGGCTTTTTACCAGGTTCATGTGTGAAAGACGTCCTTTTTAATGATTGAATCACCAGTTTGTAAAGTGTATTTTTATCTCAGTCATTTTACCATTAGATGCTTAATTTATTAGTACCAGGTCTGATGATATTCTCATCTTGGATCAAAACATTGCCTTTTTTTTTGATCAAGCAAAGCCTAAAATTTATATGAAGGAATTAAACTGCTGAAAATTGGACTTGAGTGAAACCTGAGTAAAGACAACTCTTTTGCAATTATTAACAAGAAATTAGCATTTTTAAAATACAAATAACCAGTTTTAGTCTTCAATTCTTCTTTCAACTTAAATTCTAGAAGTTTTCAGATGTGTCAAGACTATTGATACCAGTGCAAAAATTCCCAAGGAACTAGCAATTTTAAAAATCACACAAACTAAAAAATTAGAGTAAAGTAAATAAAAAATAATGAATAGGTTTATGACAGAAAAATACACTTAAATATTTCAAGGATGTGGTATCTCCAGGAGAAAACAGGCTGTCGGTGTTGTTCCCTTGCAATTGCTCAACAATGGAAAGAAATTTCCATGTTTCTTTCCAGACTAAAGCTGAAAGTCCAGTCATTGTTCTACCAAACTTAATCAAGCTTTGATCATGGGGATCCCATCGTTTCTTCAATGGAGTTACTTAACATAATTTTCCTTCATTTAAGTACAGTTTGAGGCACAGTTTAAGATCAAATGT